GGATCGTCCCAATGTGAAGGAGCGGATGGCTGTGGAAACGTCGCCCCAGGTCCTGATGGAGATCAAGGCCCTGGAACAACGTCTGGCGGTGTTGAAGGATCAGGTGGATCGTCCGTGAACGCCACCAAAGGCACTGCGACTACGAGATCTACCGCGGACTACGTGGAGGACCCGGCAGATGGGGAGAAGTTCTCCGATGAAGGCAACGAGGGTGACTCGGAACAATGGTCAGACCTAGAAAACGATGACTACGACGCCGAGGTCCTTCTCTCAGAGCATATCGAAAAATACTTGGCCAAAGCCATTGCCGAAAAGGACTACTCCTCTTCCACCCTGAACTCCATCCTGGAAGAGATCTTCGGTGTCAATGGCGAGCGTTTTCCTCGACGAGGAGCCCGAGCGCGACCCAAGGCAATGGGAGATGATGATACCGGGGAACATAAGATCGTGCTCGGCTACTACACCTATGGCAACATGCGGGGGATCTGTGCAAATACCTCTAAGTTTGCTTCCCTCTGTCTGTACCTCAAAGAGTACTTCCTGGACAAGGACCCTTCCGCGAGGTGGAGTTCTATTTCACTTGCTCTGAATTGCAAGCCGGTTGTGCACACAGACCACAACAACCTAAAGGGGACCCTCAACTACCTCACGGCGACGGGATCCTTTACAAAGGGCGGTGGTCTATGGCATGAAGATTCCTCCTCTACTACCAGCACACCGATGTTCATGAATGATGCGAAGGGGCGCCAGGTGAAGGGTGTTGTTTCTTCGTCCAGGGACAAAGTAGTGACCTTCTTTGCTGACAAGATGCACAGCGCCGAGCCCTGGGACGGAGGGAACAGATGGTCAGTGACATGTTTCACTACAAGGGGGTTCGCGGGCAGCGCTCAGGGAGAACGCCGACGTCTACGCCAATGGGGTTTTCAGCTTCATGACCTACGACATCTAGATCCCGACCGAAAGCGACTCCGACTCCCTACCCCTCAATGCGAAGGACCTACGAGTACTAGATCTTCGTCGCGCTCGTCCTACAAACCAAAAAGGAGCACCAGGAAAAGTCTGTGGCACACCGCTACCAGGGCAAGTGCCTTCCTGACTTGGTCACTGGCATCCATCGCTTCGGCCTCAGCAGCCTCTGTCAGTGGGCGAATGAACAGCGACCTTGAGCAACAACCGGTGGCCTTACTGGAGATTGGAGGCATGGAACAAACCCTGGAAGCAACCTCACTGTTCCAGTGTTATGCAGCAGAACCGGTCCTCTGGAGTGACATCCCTTCCTTTTCCCCGGGCAACTACATGATCGACATGTCCAACCAGCTCCGACCTTCCATGATTTGGATACACCCCCCGGAGGACTCCGAGATGGACAACGAGAAGAAGTTTTTCGAAGTACTCGACCTATGTGGTCGTTGGCAGGTCAATCAACATGGATCCTTGATGGTCACGGTACCAAGACGACTACCTCACCAGGATAGACGAGTACGGCTCCAAATCGAAAGTTTCGGCACCGTGGCTACTGTGGAGATTGACGGGGTCAAAGCCTACAGAGTTACACCGCCTGCCTACCACGAGGCATGCGTTGCGGAGGACGCTGGGGAGGCGGCGGAACGGTCTGAGGTGGACAAATGGCGTGAAGGAGCAGCAGGGATTAGCTTCGACAAAAAGGTCCCCTCAGACATGGCAGCAGCACTTCGTCGTTTACATCAAAATCTGGGCCACCCTGCTCGGGAGGACCTGCTGCGGCATCTTCATCACGCTGGAGCAGACCGCGATGTGATCAAGGCCGCTAAGAGCCTGGAGTGTGCCACTTGCTCGCGTACCAAGGGGCCCAAGAGCGCTCGTCCTTCTGCAGAGCCAAGACTGCTTGAATTTGGGGATGTTGTTGGAGTCGACATGATGTATGCCTATGACATCGATGGGAAAAAGATCAAGCTGTTCTCTATGGTCGACCATGCTTCCTCCTATCAAGTTGTGGTCCAGGTTCCCAAACAAACTGGCACAGTGCTCGAGAAGGCTTTCATCAAAAACTGGGTGCAAATCTTTGGCGCTCCCAAAATGATCGCTCTGGACCTGGAACGTGGGATCCAGGACGCTTTCAGTCGCCTAGCAGACTGGTACCATGTCGAGCTACGAACAAGCGCCGGGCAGGCGCACTGGCAGTCCGGTTTCACAGAGCGACATGGAAAGTGGTGGAAAGAGATATTTGGCCGTGTGGTACAAGAACAAACTGTACGAGGAGAAGAAGTGGAGGAGGCCATTGGCGCAACTACTTCGGCTAAAAACAATCTACGTCGTCGTTGCGGATGGGCTCCATGCCAGATAGTCTTCGGCAAGAATCCCAGGGATGACGAGGACTTGCGTTTCGAGGTCGAAGAAGGGGGTGGACAACTTCTACGTTCTCCTGATGAAGCCCAACATCGTCGAGAAACCCTCCGGAATGCCGCAAGGATCGCCTTCTACCAGTCCAGGACCGAGGACAAGATAAGACGCGGAATGTCACAGAAGTCACGCGTCAAGCCCCGAGACCTCGAAAACGGCGCTATGGTGTTCTTCTGGAGGAAGCCATCAAACAAAAAGAACGGCCTTTGGAAGGGCCCTGGGATCATCATCGGACGCCAAGAGGATAACTACTGGATATCCCACGGCGGCCGATGCTACCTTTGCGCCCCTGAGCATTTGCGTCGCGCATTGCCCGAAAGGTCGGAGGACTCTTTGCCCTCCGTGCCACCAAGGATGATCTTCTACGGCTAGTAGAAAACAGCTATGACGACCCTGAGGTTTTCCCCGGAGACGACGCCGCGGCGGAGGAGGACGCCTTCCTGGACCAGATTCTCGAGGACCTCTCCATGCCCGAGGACAACGACGAGGCCCCCGAGGGACAAGCCATGGACCTCGAGAACGGCGACATGGAAGAGTCCCGAGCGTCCGGGATCAGACGCGAAGCTCCCTCTGAGGAGCTACCAAGGGCGATCCGGAGAAGGATTTCTTCTAAGAAGCCGGAGGAGGCTATGATGCTCAAACGAGCAACCACCAGACGTGGTCGCGAAAAACAGTTGGAGAAAGAGATTCCCTGGAGCATGATTCCAGAATCCAAGCGCCAGCTATTCATCGATGCAGAGCACAAACAATGGGAAGAACACGTCCGTCTCGGTGCTCTCCGACCTTTGAGCATCGAAGAAAGTGCTCTCAAGAAGGACTCTGGCCGGGTGCTGACATCACGTTTCGCATATCGTGATAAAAACCTGGCTAGAAGAAGAACGGACCCTTCGGTGGAGTGGAAAGCAAAATCGAGACTGGTGGTGTCTGGACACACCGATCCAGATATTGTTTCTGGGGCCCTACGTACGGATTCTCCTACGGTGTCGAGGACGGCGGTGATGGCACTTCTACAAATAGCGGCTTCGAGGATGAACGAAGATTGGGGAGTTGCCGCCGGAGACGTCACTGCAGCATTCCTCAATGGAGAGAGGTTGGACCGCGAGCTCTACTTGAAGCAACCTCGTCATGGACTGCCAGGACTTCATCCGGATCAACTCATCCGAATCGAGAAGGGAGTGTTCGGACTCATTGACAGCCCGAGGAAGTGGTGGAAGAAGTTCAAGAAGGACATCCAGGAGATCGTCCTGACGCTCCCCTCCGGTAACAAAGCAAAGTTCTACGCCTCAGCTCTTGATCCCTGCGTGTTTCAACTTGTTGAGCTCGGCAAAGATGGAGAAAGAGGCGATGGACCTCCTATTTGCTATGCAGCAGTCCATGTCGACGATATCCTCCTGGTCGGAAACAAACGGATCCGGGAAGCCGTCCAAGAACAGCTTTCCAGCTGTTTTCCTGTGGATGAATGGGAACAGGACACTTTCGATTTCATCGGATCCCACATCGAGACAAGGCCGGATGGCATCTTCATCTCGCAGTCCTCCTACGCGGCGAATCGACTCTTCGAGGTGGAAGTGGACCCCAAGGACGCTGAGGACAAGCCAGCTTCGGCCGAGCAAATCACCGACAACCGCTCTTTGGTGGG